TAGCACCGGGGGAACCGCGTGGGGAGGCCCCAGCCTCTCCTCTCGGGGGGTGGAGGTGCCAGCAACCAGAGGCCAGCAGCAGTCCCAGTACTCAGGCCGGGCTGGCAGAGGTTGTGCCAGCAGACCCCAGCCTGGGCAGGCAGCCGGCAGCAGCCTCAGCACAGGGCACAGAGCTCCAGGGGCGCGTGGGTCCGGATAGGCCTGGGTGACTCTCCCAGGGACAGGGTTGAAAGCAGCCCCGGGGCCTACCTCTGCCATGGCCCGGCTCTCCCACCAGGACAGGGCGGGCAGAGTGTGGTCTGTTTACAGCTCTGGGGCACTGGAGCCCAGAACCACCCCACAGCGACACCAGCTCCTCTGGAGCTTGGACAGGGGAAAGCCTGCCAGCACCAGGGCAAAGCCGGTGCTCAGTAACACCTCAGCCCCTTTTCTTTTTCAATTTTTCAGTTTGCTCTGAACCAGAATCACCTCTTTGTAGATCCGGCGCAGCCTTGGCCAGATCGGTGTATCTGCGTGTTCCTGTAAGTGCATTTACCAGAAGGACAGTTGTGAGGAAGAGATGGCAGCAAGGAGAAAAACAACACCTCTTGGGAACATTCCTCTTCTCCGCATGGCTCTATTTAGGTATGCAGAGGAAGCCTGCAACTCGGCTCTGCTGGGAAAGCCTGGTTTCCCTCACCAAGAGCTCAGATATTGCTCTCCCAAGAGCGCTGGGATACTGTGGGAAGCATATGACATTAGATTGCCTTGTTCACAAAAAGCACTAAAACAGGTCAGCAGATAAACCATGGCATCTGCCACAATGGTACCCCACCAGAGCAACCGTCCTCCATGCTACAGGCTTTATGGGGATCAATGGTGAGGAGCCAAGACATATTTGCTATCATAAAGCACCTGTGTAATTAGATACCTGTGCAGCCAAAGTGTCTGGAAGAAAAGGGGCAGCCTTTTTTCTTGTCCTAAAGCAACATATCTGCCACCACCAGAGATGGGGCAGCAGCCCCACCAGTCCCCGCATCAGTCAGGTAACCCAGCTCCCAGCATAGTGGCCAGGACTGAACTCTGCCGACGCAGTCCTGCATCAGCAGAGTGCAGCACACTAGAAGTGCAGCTCTAGAAGACTTGCACAGGACACAGGTGAATAAACACACACTGAGGAAATACCGTAATAAATATTTATTTATGTGACTTCCTCCCTCCCTTCTTGCCACAAAGGGCTGAGAAGGCAGACGCACATGTAGAACAGAAAGAAAAAGCCAGTACACCCCAACAGTGTAAAGACAGTGCCCATCTCTCTCAAGGAAAAGCCTAGTCCCCAGCTCTCTCCCTTCCCCACTTTGAGATTTATGAACCTGCATGTTAACTCCCAACAGTCCTTCACTGTCCCAGTTATGACCAAGGAGCTCCCATTGCCCATGCAAATCCACAAGGTTCTCAGTTATCCATCCCTTACTTGGCAGGGGAGCTCTGTCCAGCAGAGGAGCAGGGGATGGCAGAGTCAGCCTCTGGCAAATGCCCCTTGTTTTTCCCAAATTCAATCACCAGCGGCTTTCCCTGCAGATTGTACCCGTTCACCAACAGCATGGCATCCTGGGCCAACTGAGTATCTGCAACAAGAAAGCAAAATGAGCGCAGGTTACACAGCAAGTTCTGGCACAGGCACACATGGTCTCACACAGATGTTCCTGGCTCACAGACCCTCAGCCTGCACTGCGATCCAGTGCAGCGCTGGGATCCTCCAGCCAGAGTGATGTGCCGAATATAAATATGGCACATAACAGACTGCATCCCTTCTGTTTTGATGAATCCTCTTTCAGTCCAGGGAAAAGATTATGAATGACACGATAGGAAGAAGAGGGAGTGAACTCCCCTCCTTCTTGGAGAGCAGGCTTGGCACCAGCCCAGTGCCCTGCAGGAAGATGTGGCACCTTCGTGGGCCAGGGAAGAACCGAGAGGCACGAAACAGCAACTCACCAGGGAAGGTGATGAAAGCCTGACCCCTCATCCGGCCGCTCAGGAGGCGGAACTGGATCAGTGGGCTGTCCTCCTTCTGGAACCGAGCAAACAAGGACACTAGGTCCTTCATCGTCACTCGAGGGCCCAGGTTCTTCAAATACAGCACCTGTTCCAGAGAGACAAAGGGTCAGCCAGCCTGTGCCATGCAAACAGACACCTTTCAACCTGGTCCCAAGTCCATACACCTCAAAGGTATGAATTAGTTTAGCCCCTCTGCCAAACCAGAGTCCTTCTCCCACACAGTGGAGTTTGGAAGACAGGTGGATGTACGGGGAAAGGCAGCTCTGGACTCAAGGCATCATTATGCTTGCAGGCGCCAAGTGCTGATATCTCCAGTTATTTATAAAATGCAACAAGCTCCAGCTACCAGTTAAGCACACTTTGAGTAAAGTCACAGCTGGTCTGTCAGGCCCAAACAGTGACCTCCCAGAGCCAGGAAGGGCTGAGGTCTGAAGTACAGCTCTTTGCCAGGCCGGGCAACTTCCCAATAGATTGAAAGGTCGCCTTCCCTCCCAGAGTGGAGGCTGCTCTCACTTGGCCGGGAAGATCAACCAAGCACCCTCCATCAACAGCCAGTCCATAGCAAAGAGGAGCCTCTCCCTGCTGAAGCAGCTTTAGGGCATGCTAGTGAGGAAGAAGAATAAATCCTGGTTCATCTTGACATACCTTGTTGGGCTCCCCAGGATGGTAGGATGAGAACCTGGGTATATTCCGGAGTTCTTCCTCTGAGAGACGGTTCTTACAGATCTCCTCTTCCGGGACAAACTCTACAGGCTCTTTGATAATCACAGGCCTTGGAGGGGACTGGTGGGGCCTTGTTGAAGGAAGGCTGGGACTTCTTGCCTGTTCTGCCTGCTCTTCCTGGTCTGGAAGTGATGACTCCTCAGCCACAGGTCCCTGCAGGGCCAGGGAAGGGCACAAGCATGGGTCACTCTTGGTAGGCTGGACTTCTTCAGGCCACTTCTTGCTCAGTAGCTCTTGGTAAACACTCTCCAGATGAACCATGGGGTCCTTTTCATCTGTTACCCGCTTCTGAGTGTCATCTAATCCACAACGGAGAAACATGGTAATGTGACTACCACCAACAACCTGGAAAATGCACAGACTGCAGGAAGAGGCACAGATAGGAGAAACCCTGTTCCGACGCAGCCTCCATGCATCTGCCAACCAGGCCCTGCAGGTTATTTAAAACAAGAAGAGTAGCCGCAGCAGCCAGAAAGTGCGGGTGCCCCAGCTCAGGATGAACCTGCAGAGAGCAGCAGCTCCACCAGTGCTTTGTACAGAGCTCATTTCTTCCAGAGATGCCCTCACTAGCTTATCTGCAGCCACATTTCAGCACGTTCTAGTGACTTTTTCAACACACCTTCCTCCTCCATCCATCCACGGCCAGGATGTGCCACACTGCCTTTCTACACCACTATGTGGAATATAGAGTTTTTGATTCCAGGGACATCAAATTAAGCTCCTGGGTTTAAAGAAGGTCCATGGCACGGACTGACCAATGATATCTCCTTTACTCTATTTAATGGAAATGAGGACAGAAGTGAGAGGGGCACCTCCCAGCCTATGAGCCTCAACCTTGCTGCCTCTTGGTTTTGCCACAACACTGACACCAAAGGAGGGAGCAGGGTCCAGTGGACACTGGGTCAGCTGGACATTATAGCTTGAACAGCATCAACGGTGATCAAAGTGGTGTTTTAGGAGTTAGGAGTTGGAGTTTAGAAGTTCTTCCTCATCTTTTATTTAATACTGTCTTACATACAAAAATCAGCCTGGGCTGGAGCTTCATGCCCGCATGTTCTCCAGCTAAAGCAGATTGGAGCAGCTTTTGCCATCTCTGGAAAACACTTGACTCTCCATCCAGAAAAGTCACATTAAGCCACAGGCTCAGGGACAACACTGCTGGGGTGAGAAGTCTCCCGTGGACACAGTACTGGGAATCAGCAACTGGGCTCCATTTCCACTTCGGCTATAAGTCACTCCTACTCTTTCCTGCTCTGTGCCTTTGCTTTCCTCCCACCCTTGTTAGACTGCAGTTAAATCAGAGAAGGGACGATCTCTAGCCCTACACAGGCACTCATGTCACTCGGTGCAGCTCAGTGGGGACCTCCGAAAGCATAACCCTGGCTGCTCTTCCATATACCGAGCTGGGCTCTGCAGCACACGCAGCACATCAACAAGATTTATGCTCTCCAAACAGAGATGGACTTTACAAGCCTCTATATTAAACCCTTCAGAAAGCCCACTCTCTATCTGCTCACGTAAGAGAGGAAAATATCTCCTCCCACACAGCGCCAAAACAGAACCGTGTCTTCAGGGACAGAAGGCCAGACAGAAATGTGTTGGACTCCCACACACCCCGTCTCTCCGTGCTGGAGCAAAGGCAGGAACAGCCTTGAGCCCACAAACCTTGGTGGTAGAGCGCGCGGAGGAAGGAGTGGCGGTCTGTTCCCTGAAAGAGGGCATTTTCAATCTCCATCTCCCGCCGGCTCAGCTGCTTGCTGCCAGCTCTTCCATCTTCTCCTGGATGGCATGGAGTCGGTCCTGCGTGGCCTCCGGGGCTGCTCCCAGACCAAAGCCCTGGAAGACAGGGACAGCTTTGCTCAGATACGGCATGTGCCTCCTTTTCAGAGACTCGGCCAGCAGTCAAACTTTACATCCTTCAGCCCTGGAGTGGGTGCAACTAGGAACCATCCCCCAAAGAGCAGGTCATCCATCTTCTCCTGGATGGCATGGAGTCGGTCCTGCGTGGCCTCCGGGGCTGCTCCCAGACCAAAGCCCTGGAAGACAGGGACAGCTTTGCTCAGATACGGCATGTGCCTCCTTTTCAGAGACTCGGCCAGCAGTCAAACTTTACATCCTTCAGCCCTGGAGTGGGTGCAACTAGGAACCATCCCCCAAAGAGCAGGTCACCAAGACATCCTGTTACTGCAAGGATAGGACAGAAATATAACCACTCAGCAAGCATCAGTTCTTGAGAGAAGTGGAAAAACAGCCTCTTTCTCCTGACCTTTCTGTGCCGCTTTCTTTCCCCTGGCCTCACTGTCTGATGGTGCCTGTGTCCCTCTGTCCCAGCAGTCCCTGCCTCTGCCAACAGCCATTTTCTAAGGCCACCTACAGTAACTGCACAAACCCCTTTTGGCATTTCTTTTGCCCCGCCTAGAGCATCCCTGAACTCAAGTTTCCACCAAGCTTTTGCCTATGAGCTTATTTGCTGAAAAGAGGTCCCCAAGCTGTTGTTTGGCACCCGAGGTTAGGTTTATGCTGAGGACTAAACCCCTGACCAGCTTCACATGAGCCAGTTCCCAGAAACTACTCAGCTACTACAGCACAGACCTCATAGCTAACCTGGCTAAGAGCGAGCATTCCTGTATAAATAAACCTCACTGCACAGAGCCAAGGCACTGCTAAGATTCACCAGACTCGTGCTGCCAAAGCACAGAGACATACCCCAACTTCTGGAGTGGCATTTCTGTTCCCCCATCTACCTCTATCAGAATCCAGAGAACACACTTTTATGGGGCTGTAGGTGGATTTTCTTTTCTCAAATTCATTTTGAGAATTACTGTGGCAGATCCTTCTGCCTCAGGCAAGAAACCAGGCTTTCTCCCTGCACTGAGCACAATCTAACAAAGACTTTCCCATGGGCACCTCTCCCTTCCTGCCTGACTGCATGGGCCCACATCTGCACAGCTTCCATTCACCATTTCACAACTTCCCTGGGGCACAAAAGGTTGTTTATGTGTAAAAGCAATTCTGGGAAATAATTTGTAATAATTTGTTTTCAAAAAAGCTGCAACTTAGCAGCTGAAAATAACAGAAGCCTGCACTCAGTACTTTGCCGAGAGCTCTCTGAAGGCAATATGAAGTCCTCTCTGTCTCAGCTGATTCCTCCTTGGTGGAATCTTTCACTCAGGGCCTCCACATACAAAGCTGCACATCGCTACCTGACTTGAGCTTTCGCTCTAAACATTCTTCTTCTCTCACAACCTGTAGAAGATGGACCCTAATGTCACTGGTTCTTTCTGTCAGAGTAGTGTTTTCCATGCTAATCTTTGTTTCTAAACATCCCAGAACTGATTTCATACCAAATACAACAGCAGGTACTGTTGACATTAATTTTCATTCTTGAATTACCACCCCTCCTCTCTAACCCAAGCTTTAATGCAGGCCACACCAGGGCTGGTGTGCATTTAAACACCAAAGCAAGTAATGACTTCAGCTGAAGAGAGGCAAACCCATGATTACTGCAGACAGCTTCCTCCTGTGCACAACTATTGCTCAGGAAGAGGAGGAGAGACAGAGAGAAGCCAAGGGTCAGCTCAAGTCCTGTTTTGCACCTTCTGGTTTAGCAAATTAAGAGCAGGATGTTCCAGTGCACCTGACACAGGACAACCCCAAAAGCCCCTTGTCTCTCGAATATGAAAGAAAAGGGTGAAGGTAGGGGAAGGGGAGAAACCTGCTTTGGCTCTGCTCTGCAGCAAACTGCACCCAAAGCAATTGTCATAGCAATCACACACTTGGTCTAACAGCTCTACATTGCTATTTTTACACGGCTGTTTCAAGTCCCTTGAAGCATCTGCAAGCCCCTGAGGAGAACGTACAAAACCCTCCCTACAGACAGCTATCCCAAGCCAGCCATGGGATCCAGGGATGTGTCAGAAAACTGAAAGAGGAGGTTGAGGCACTTTGAAATGTTTCCTCCTTTTTCTCCTCCATCCTTTAAATCCTTCTTACACAGGTATAAACAGGTGAAATGATTTGCTTGAGACCATCAAGGCAGAGGCAGGAATATAGTCAGATCCTGCTGTGTTCCAAAGGACCAACTCTTCTCTCCACCATAGCTTTTAGTACAGACCATTCCACCAAAGAAAACAGGCCAGAAGAAATGTGTGATCATGCTGCCCTGGAGGCAAGAAATACATGGAGCAGCCATTCTTTACCAGAGGGCTTACAAGGGACTTGAATTTTCTACCAGGGTGCCACAGGCCATGGGGTTAGAGGGACTTCACCACGTTCACATCAGAGCAGAGCATGCCTACCTTCCCTGTTGAAGTCCGGTTCTTCCAGAGCAGGATCTCCGAGTCGGAGAGCCCCAGTTCCCGGAGAGAGGCAGTTTCTTTGTTGCTCTCCTGCAGGGCCTGGAACTGCGACAAGGTCAAAGCCCCCGCAGCCTCTTCCCCAAAAGGTTTGTAAAAAGCTGCGGGGGCAAAGCATCTCCGCTTTGATTTGCACCTGTAACCCAAAACAACAGAACAGCAGAAACAACTTAGCATTGAGAAACTGGGGGAATAGGAAGGGGCTGGCCTCTCTCCCCAACCATGCTTGGTCCTGCTGCAACTAGGCAGAGATGCCATGTTTCCAAAACACAATTGAGCTGCACTCTCCTGACCCTTTTCCAAGCCCATGAGATACCACAGGGCAGGATGCTGCCCCAACATGGACAAGAGGCACCTCATGACACTGTAACACCAAGCACGCTGCAGGTGCAAACACAGACCAGCCTGGTGGGGATATGCTCACCAGCCTAGAAACTCACTTCTGCGTCTGGCCCAGGCAAATTGGTTATTTTCACCAGGTGAAAATAAGTTACTGCCAGCATTTGCTCCAGGAGAGACGGAGCGCTTATCTCCTGCTGGGGAGACCCAGCAAAAGAGGAAGGGTTTCCACAGCTGTTTTGGCAGACAACAGCCTGCACCAAACATCTGCCCGGGGAAGAGGCCCCAGTGAGGCGACACTGCTGCTGCCCCTAACATAGCCAGACTCTGCTCACCAGCCCCTCTGGCAGCCCCCCAGGGGCCAGATCAGGACTTACTGCTCGATGGAGACAGTAGTATCGAGCTGGTGGTGAAGGAGACTCTTCAGCTGCCTCTCCCCTTCTGTCTCCAAGTCTTCCAGGAGGAGCTCATCACTGGACAGGCTGCTGTTGACCCTGGGGCACACAAGCACAGCATGGAGGTGGTCAGTAAGGCAACAGGGAAAACACTGCTCAAAACGCACCACCGCTACAGCCTCTCTAGCTCCTCGACTGTTTTTACAGAATTTAAAGCACAACAAGGAACCAAAACTGCTTAACCAAAGCTCCCACTAATGTTAACTAGAAAAGCTGATAGATTTAGGACTACTTGGAGAACATTAAAAATACCCCAGATAGCTTTTTTTTTAAAAAAAGTCACATGCAATCTTATTTTTATTGCTGGAAAGTTGTTTTGTATCAGTATCTAAACAGACGTTACTAGTTTCAAATGACTCAAGAAAGAAAGAAAGAAAACTGCGAGGGAGAAGAGAAACAGTGAATTTGAGCAGCACTCTCTGGAAAGCTTCCTCTTCCCTTCCTAGGGTCACCTGCTTCCACGCGGACAGACAGACAGCGCCTCCACAGCCACCCCGCAGACAGCACGCGTTTTCGCATGGCAGCGGGGGCCCTGCTGACCCCTCTTCTGGAG